CGACGCAAAATGCCGTTTTGAGACTAATAGAACTTTGGGTCTAACGCCCCCTTGAGATAAAAGGTTTGACTCCCAAATGACAAAAATTAGCCCAAACATTTAATTTCAAAATCTCTTCGTTTTTTTCATTTTGCCTTGAGGTGTTGTTTAAAAAAAACAGAGTAATTGAAGTTGATGTTTTCCTTTTAAATGTCATTTAGTGATTTATTTATTTATTTTGTCATTTACTACTGTTCAACATTTTTTAATTTATAGTTTTGTTGCATATAGTAGGCCAGGAAAAATTTTCATACAAGTAATTTATAAGTTTCCGCATGTTAAAAATATGTTATTTATATTCTCAAGAATTTTTACTGCGCTAGAATCACAATAAAATATTTTTACCAAAAATTCATTGAATTAGAAGTATTTTTTGCTTTAACTTATGTCGATAAAAATATGTATTGGTTACGAGTCAGTGCTGAAGCTTGTGACTGTTTTCTATAACGCGAAAGCCTGTAAGATATACCTCTTTTTTTTTTTGTAGACAGTTTATATTGATTGATACACAGTCTGGACAGCAATGCTTGTGACTTGGTTTGTTAACGGCAAAAAACTTTTTCCAAAATGATATTCCATTTTTAGTTACGTGCAAATGCACAAATTTTGCTTTTCCGTTTGTGTGAGACCCCTAAATATGATAAGTATCTCGGACAATTTCTGTCGTACGAGTGTAAAATCTTTCGTATTTTATTTTTGGAATGAGTGCAAACTTTCACATAACCGTATTAAAAGTTATATAGATGTTATAATTTTCTACAAAATTTTTGAATTAAGGAATAGAGATTAACATGAATTTTTCTTTATTTAAAGAACTTTTGAGATTGGAATTTAAAAAGTAGCATATTCTGGATGAAGTAATGCAAATACTTTAAAAAAAAAAAAAAAAAAAAAAAAGTTCGAATTTACAAAAAATTTAGTTCAGAGTTTAGCTTGAGTCTCAGTATCGTGTTTGTGAAGCTGGCTTTTACATTTTTCAGATATATAATCATTCAGATGCCGCCCAGATGGTATAATGGTTAGGAAGTCTATTGCGATACCGAAGGGCACGGGTTCGAATCCCGAAGAAGGCATGGTTGTAATTGTCCGTCCCTTCATAGGAGGTAACGGTGGTTCACCTACTATTAGGTGCTAACCGACTACAATAAAGTAGCAATAAATAAATACAATAAAGTGGCAGCCACTTCCGGCCTTACGGCAGTACGCTTTATCTTTCTACGAGTAATACCAACAAAAGCGCGAATATCTGTTACAGATGCAATGCGAGTTGCCCCTCAAGTAATCGATTTGTTGTAGCTCGCCGTGCAACTCTGCTGCCAACAAAAGCTCGAATGTTTGCTGCACTACAGACATGCAGCGAACATGGCGATCTTCTCTTTAAGTTTTAGCACGTGTGCGACCGTACTTCAGTCTTCTTGAGACAATACCTTACTCTAATACTGAGAAAGTACCTACGCTAAATATGGTCTATCTAGAAAATAAGTTATTATAATTATACATTGTCTATACTATAAATTTTACCTTTATTGACGCTACTACTACTGATTCAACTCTATATGACAAGAACTATTGAAATACTATAGAGTGTATTGTAATTGACTCTACTGTCATTAACTATTATTGATCCTATTGCTAGGAAAACTATTACTGACAGCTGCTATAGACCACCTATTAACGATGACTATGAACTATGATGATGATAGACTTTGACGATGATGATGGCTATGATGACAACGATTACAGACTATGATGCAAAGGCAAAATTTTATCCCTGGATTGTTATTTGCTTTAGTGACACATTATCTTATCTAAAGAACATTAAAGGCAAAGTAGAACTTGCGCTTGTACTTTATACTGGTGAATGTATTTTTTTTTTTTTTCTGATTACGTTACTTAAGCAATCTGTCTATTTCCTTACTGTTGGTGGCCAGTAGATGGCTGGTAGGTGTTTCATTGAGAAAGCCATTATTCCATTTGGCTTTTGCCTCAGGTCGGATGCCATTCTCAGTGGATGTCAGTACCATTCCGCGATTATTGTTGCTAACACGCACGTACAATGGATACCTCCCTGCCAAAGCTTTCTGAAATATCGTGGAAAAAAAATCCACCTTCTCGTAGCTCTGCTACACGGCTTCGTGCAAACTCAGTAAGCTGTTGATACTACGTTTTTCGTTTCTTTGAAGCTATTCGTGATTCGAATATCGCCTACAACGCCCGATCCAGAAGATAAGTAAAGCACATTTACCGATATGGATTACGAAATTGCGGCTCCAGACTGGGTCTTAAGCTAGATAAATTTAAGTCTCTGGAGGGCATATGACTTTGACGAGCTAGCAGGCGAAACGAATAAAGCACACGAAATTTACTTCGCGCGTTTAAAGCAAACGTAATTTGGATGTTCATAGTAGCGCTACTAGTACCACACTTACTCTTCTAGCGCGAAATTTGAATAGTCAGATGCGCAAACACGCGTTCTAAATTTCGTTTATCTAGAACAACTCCTTTTTGGTGTTAATATTTCATTTTCCTTCAGTGTATAACTCTCGCATTGTTTAGGGCTTATAGCCGTACAGGATACTGTCAATAATCAGTGTAACGTCACCAGACATCTGGTAGCCGTACAGGATAGTGTCAATATAATTCTAGCTAAAATGTCCTTCAGACCTTGTCAAACTGCCATGCGAGTTATCATTCCATCTGCGTAAATAAGACAAAGTCCTATGAAGGTTTTAAATAAACCTTTTTATTAAACCTGGATTTAACAGAAGTTACAACTTGTGTGCACAATCAAAACCTGGATTTAACAGAAGTCACAACTTGTGTGCACAATCAAAACTTGGATTTAACAGAAGTCACAACTTGTGTGCACAATCAAAACTTCGCCACTTTCCGTTGAATTAAAATAGCATAAAGTTGAATTTTCAGTTTTAAATGGGACCAGAGCTTGAAATTACACAATTTAGCCTAACTAAACTGGAGCAAACCTTAATGGAGCGATTTAATTTCGGCTAGCAAATGCCTAATACCTTAATACTAGAGCGAGAGAAAGGAAAGCTGCAATCGTCGCAAGTTCTGTACCTAAAATATTGAAAACCCTTTGTCTTAAACAAACATAAATTCTTTGCAGCTTGGTGAGGGCTAATGAAAATGAGAAGTAATACCACGGATCCAAATAATAAAAATTAGCTAATTAACATAAAATATCTTATTACCCTACATCTTGAGCATTCACCTTACGAGCTCAAGCGGGCGAGGATAGTCATTTGAGTTTAAGGATGCATGTGGAAGGGGTGGCACATATGCTCATGTGTAACGTTTTACAATGTACTGTGATAAACACTAATGTCGGATGTCATCGCTCATGAACTTGTGAAAGGAGTTGCTGCCAATCTGTCTAAAGTACTCTCTTTCCGGCGTTCAAACATTTTGCTTATGTCCTACATCTCCTTTTGAGATAGCGAAAAAGCCGCTTCCATGCAGTCTCCTATTATTATTATTTGCGTGTTCCACCCTAAGGCACTACACGGAAGGGAGTGATGCCTTTGTGAGGGACTTTCTAAGGGAAACTGACTCGTGTTAATACGTTACACATGGGAAAACCACGAAAACGCGCATGCAGTCAGCCCATTCGCGGGATTTGAACCTCAGACCGAACTACCAGTGTTCAGGGGCTTTACCGCTCGGCCGTTGGTGGACCCCACGCAGTCTTCTGTCTGCCAGTTTTTTGTATATATAATCCGCCAGAGCTTCAAAAATTCGTTTCGGATGATTTTTGTTATTTAAAAAATGAAGCTTGTTTCGGCTAGCTTTCTGTGGAACCTTAAGCCGATCAGCAGCAAATAACTTCTGCTGCTTCTTTTCACTGAAAATTTGTATGATGATGAATATTTGTTCTGATAATGTGCTGCTTGTAGGCGATGTTCCGGAGATGCACTACTTCATTAGCAGGACACAAACGACGACAGGGACCTGCTCTTGTTTCGAAATTGCTACGCTGAGTCGGATGTGACTCTAGGTTGCGTTTTCTTGATATGTACTATCATCCCTCTTATTTTAGTTCACGAACTGTCTGTGTACCTACTGATGGACGTAACAAGTGACGAATTTAAATTTTCATGGTTTGTTGGACAACTAAAGTTCGGATAATCCAGACTTTACCATAATCCATAAAGGTTATTAAGTCTGGTACATTTAACAATCATCCATTAGTGTCCAAACTCTTGGTAGACATTAAGCGAATTAACATTAAGTCTAAAATAACAACTGAAGTTTAAGAAGCAGGTAAAAGACTCTTTGATTTGAAACTAAGAAGATTAGAAGGCACACCTGGTGCTTACAGTTCAGCCAGCACTTAATAGCGAGATTACTTAAATAAACATTCAAATATAAATTTAAATTCAAGTAAGCTAGCAGCCGAAGGCTACATAAATAATACAATTTAACTCGAAGCTGGCTCACAAACCTAACCGGCATAGATATTAAAATATCGGCATTTGTAATGCAAAGCCGAAGACTCCAAATTTTATCTGAGCTAACAACAACTTAGTAACTTGGCGTCGAGAGGCAGAACACGCTTTGTCTTACAATCTGAAAAACTCTAAGTACACGCGAGCTAATTTGCATTCTGGCTTCGAAATGGAAAGAAGAAGTCACAGTAAAGATCTAAGTCATAAGCAGAAAAGTTACAAGGCTCATGACTTCGAAATTTAAATTTCTTATGCAGTTATAAATTTAAAAAATTAATTTAAGGAGATTTTTAACCTCAGAAAAGAAAGTATGAAATAATCGAGTTTGTGACGTATTTTTAGGTAAGTCAGATAATTTTATTTATTAATGATAGCGTATCTTAATATGTAAAGTTTAAAGGTTCACAATTTTTAATATCAGCATTCATTCGCAGAGGGTTTCTTTCCCATACTCCATTTGCAGATAAAATTCTTTATAAAATAGAAAACACTTTAGAAATGGATAGACACACAAGCGGCCATCAGCAGTCAATATGCAAATCCTCATTATTTTATGTCTGGTAGCGACATTATGGGCAAATCCAGGTAAGTTGAAAATTGAATATTTCAATTTTTTTTTTCAGTTTAAATAGAAAAATAATAAAAAAAATTTTATTCTTTTTCTTTTTGACATTAAAATCTTGTTTAGCGGAATTTTCCAAATATTTTTGGCATCGTTACCTTACGTATGCTACTATGCCATTTATCATCTACTAGACTTAGCATATGCTACAAATACAGGAGATATTAGAGTTATAATTTACCTTCCCAATAGGCTGAAGGACAGCCAATTATCAAAGTATTTCCATTTAAAGTAACAAAAGTTTATTAAGTTGTCTAACTTAAGTAATCAAAAATATATTTATTGTATAATATAAATCCAAATGATAATGAACATGCTAAGCGTTACTTTCATTCATAAAACATATTTCTTACGCCATATATCGCATATCTCATTGCTATTATAGAATCATTTGAGTCCGTCAGTGCCGAATGGACAAGAATCACTAAATGCTGGATTTAAAGAATGGATTTTTGACTGTATCGACGTTTTCGCTGTTTTCCCAAATGTGTAACGTTAACAAAGCCATTTTCTCCGAGAAACGCCTCCACGAAGGCATCATTCCTTTAGGCAGATAGCCCTCCCAAACTCTGTTTTAGTAGGTGCTATAATAAGCAGACTTCATCGGTTTGTTTTTGAATTTTTTTTTTTTTTTTTTTTTTTTGTTCAATAAGAACTGAAAACACCATTTTTAAACATCATAAAGTATTTCAGTATACGCTTTATGATATTAAAAATATTCCATTATTCCTAAAGAAATGTTTAATAATTTAATAAAAAAATAGAAAGGAGCGTTTTTAATTTATATGATTGAAAACAAACAAAAAAATTTCAAAAAATTTAGTTATCTTTCCAATAATTAAAATTCGAATAGCTTAAAGCAATGAAAAATTCTAAAAGAGTGAAAGCTGCATTTAAAGTTTCCAATTTAACCGCTGTTTAAATGATATAAAAATTTACAATGTAGACAAAAAATTACGGGGTAGACTTATTAATATCGTAAAAGAATATTTTGGCCTATAATTTGAAAAAAAAAAAAAAAAAAAAAAAAAAAAAAAACTTTTTTACTAACACGAAAATTCAGTATCAGCATCTTTCATACTTTTGCAATCACTTTTGCGCATACTTTTGCAATAACAGAAAAAAGATAAAAGGGGGAAAAAATCTCAAGTAATTTTTGTCATACGCGCGTAATTAAGAACAAGTAAAATTCTGGTATTAGATTATCTTAACATCTGTCATTCATTGAATCCTTCAAGAATTTACTGAGTTCCTTAAGGTACAAGAATCCAACTAAATTCTAGTAATATATAGGTAATATATAGCTCTAGTAATATATAGCTGTATTCTAACATATTCTAGCAGTATTTTAGCATTTTATGTTTTAGTAATATGCAACCATGCAAAGAAATTAACAGCAGCAGTAACAAAGAAACTCAAATCATCACTTGGCAGCAATTAGAGAAAAAAAGCCTGACCACGGAAACTATCGTTTCCTGATGGTAATAAATAAAGAATTAAAATAAATAAATTAATTAATATTTTGTGTGTTACATTTATATATTAAGTATCACGTTCTTCGCACTTAAATCATAAAATTCATTTTAACAGCAATATCGCAAAATAGTTTTAAAATGAGCATATCTTTAGAATTTCCGATACCCAGTCTAGCGCGCTGGAGATAAAAATGATTCCCCCCCCCCCGTAGAGTGTTACTATTGCTCGCTTTGAAATCCTCGAGTTTGTTAATCAAAAATTCGTTAAAAGTTTACAAAATATGAAATCGATAATAAAACAAATTCCAAATTTCAAATTTAGTCTTCCACATGCCCATATTCGTAGGAGGATTACGTCATTCAAAATTCGATGGCTCTGTGTACCGTTGTTTTATCACAATGCGAGAAATATACATACATTTATGCATCATTATTTCAAATATTCATTATTTAATTTCTTCAAATATAATGCAAGACTCTAACATTGGGTGGCAACAGTTTGAAAAGTGAAACGGACATTTATAGTGATTCAACGCAAAATCGCAAAACGAAAACAGTAGTCCTTCAGGGACAAAGCCCCTTTGGACTAATAAAATCTGAAATCTTTCATGTTTTATATTACGTCCAAAGCAGCGTTTTTTTCCATTTACATGCATAAACTCTTCTTTCGAGAGCATTTGGGATAATGTTCCTTTGAGCTAAAAATATTTAAAAAGAGTTAGCCTATCTTTCGAATTTTCAATAGACAATCTGGCGCGCTGGAGATAAATTTTTTTTCCGTGCAGTGTTGCCATTGCTAGCTTTAAAGTTGTTGAGTTCGTTAATCAAAAATTTGTTGCAAGATTTACAAAATTTGAAATAAACAAGCTATACTATTAAAATCTGTGCACGTCTATGTGTTTGTTTGTTTATTTGTGGCGTTATTTCCTCCGGAACAACATATCTTTAGAAGTCCCGATAGAGTGTAAGGGGTTGCCACACATTTTGGGTTATATTCATTAAATTATTTATTTGAAACCTAGCCACTCGAGAGGCTAACCGCCTAAAAGAGTTATCGTGAAAAAGAGAAAAGTACATAGCATTTTTTTTAATAGTTTGTAATTTGGCTCTTGAATTTTATGAAGCGTAAATGCGAAGAAAGCGATCCTTAATAATAAAGCTAAAAGGACAAAAAAAAACTTTGTTATCAGAATAGAGTCTAAGACTCACTGCTCAGTGAGAACATAAAAATCATTAATCAATACTCAGGTGTTATGTTAAAATCCGAATCTTCAGTTTTCCTACCTTTCTTCTTCTTTTTAAAATTTTTGTTATTTATTTATATATGTATAAATTCAGGTATATAGAAATCAGATGTATCCCCTAAACAATGCAATTATTTACAATAAGTAATAATATATGTTTTTCACTAAGCAACCAATTATTATACAACGCACAAAATTCATAATAATTAATACTACTAATTTTTGGTTGAAATAATTAGGTTAACGAGTCCAGCTGGTGTCATGTCATGAAAACATTTAATATTTCTAAACAGGCATGTCATGATTAAGGAGCATTTTTATTTAAATCAATCACGATCAAAAATTAGAAAAATATTTTTGAGCACTGCATTAATTGCTTTTCAATCACTTCGTTTGCTACTCAATAATAGAGAAATTAAATTTGAAAGTTAAATATCCTATGCTTTACTGAATCGCGACACGTTGGTACGATGAGATAATCAGTATTTTACTGCAGACAATTGCATTAAATTAGTCGAGTTAGTGGACTCAAATTGAGAGATAAATAACTTACATTTTGCCAAACGACAAAGGTGTGGTGCGCCGGAGATAAAATTATTTTAATTGAACAGTATTGCCACTTCCCGGTTTCAGATCACTGAGTTTGGTAAATAAAAATTGTTTGAATTTGTACAAAATACGAAATAAATCAAAAACCATTTCGAAATAAAAAAAATTTGGTCTTCGAGTTGCCTATTTTCGAGTGGAGGACTTATGAGTACTAAAACTGTGGCTCTATGTGCCATCGTTTTCCCAAAATGCATGGAACATTCATACATGCAGATTCTTTATTACTTAAACAATGCAGGTCGATAACATTTGGTGGCAACATTTTGAAAAATGATTCGAACACAAAGTGATCCGGAAAAAAAGGGGAGTCTGGAGACTAATATAGTGCCTCTGGTGCTAATAATAAACTAATTCAAAATACCGCGACTACCATTCTGAGAGAGACTAATGATAGTAACTGTGATAAAGACTAATAATACTAAGTCACTATCAGTGAGTTCTCTGACAGTGAATAGTGTTTCTGACCTAGATAAATATCGACTAATATAGCGCCTGTGGTGCTAATAATAAACTAATTCAAAATACCGCGACTACCATTCTGAGAGAGACTAATGATAGTGACTCTGATACAGACTAATGATTTAAGTCACTATCAGTGATTTCTCTGACAGTGAATAGTATTTTTAACATAGATAAATATCGGTATTTAAGCATCATTTTTCGAACATAGAGAAGACCAAAATCGTTTGGAGCTAGGCCGCCCAGATGTTATAGTGGTTAGGGGATCCGACTGCGATACCTAAGGACCCAGGTTCGAATCCCAGAGAAGGCATGGATGCAAATTGTCTGTCTCCTTGTAGGAAGTAACGGTGGCCGTTATCCTAATCGTTACTTCCTATGAGGCCGTTACTTCTTAAATAGGAGGCCATCTATTAGGTGCCTCCATAATAAAATGACCACCACTTCTGCCCTTAGTACAGACGAAAGCCTAAAAATGGCCAATTCCGTAAAAAAAAAAAAAAAAAAAATCTGAAATGTTTTAGATTTTAAATTACGTCTAAAGGGGCGTTTTTTTAACGTTTTGAGTGTTACCTTTATTTATTAAATATCATGTTCTTTGCACTTAAACCATAAAATTCAGTTCAAGAGCAATATCGCAAAATAATGTTAAATTAAGCATATCTTTAGAATTTCCGATATACACAGTCTCGCGAGCTGGAGATAAAAGTATTTTTTTCTATATAACGTTGCCATTTCTCGCTTTTAAAGCATTGAGTTTGTAAATCAAAAGTTCGTTAAAGTTTTACAAAATATAAAATCTATAATAAAACAAGTTCCAAATTTGGGATTTCAGATGCCCATATTCGCAGTAGGATTTCGTCATTCAAAATTCGATGGCTCTATTTACCATTGTTTTATCACAATGCGAGAAATAGACAATCATTTATGCAGATTTTTTATTATTTAATTTCTTCAAATATAATGCAGGACTCTAACATTTTGTGGCAACAGTTTGAAAAGTGAACCGACGTTTATGAGTCCGACGCAAAATCGCAAAACGAAAACAATAGTCCTTCAGGGACAAAGCCCCTTTGGACTAAAAAAAGTTTGGAGCTATGGGTGGTTATTTCACAGAGAGATTCATTGTAATTACTTAATAATTAGATAATGGTATTTTTGAGAATTAAATTTCCAAATGTTTATTTCAATGAATTCATTAGTGAAAGAATATGCATGAACTCAATAGCGCTAATTAAACAGCAACACGCTAAAAAAATCATATGGAAATTTTGTGTCTCATAATGATTATATTTTCTTTTAAATTAGACATTAATTGATTGGTGAGAAAAAAGTTCATCCTGAAAATCGTGGCAAATTCTTCGAGCCTAACAATTAGAAGAATTTAACTTTAAAAATTAAAAAAATGTTAATGGATATTTTTTGAAAAAATTAATTAAAACGACAAAAAATTTAAGAAACAGATGATTCAACAGCAGCGTATGACATGGGAATTCCCTTTTAATATTTACCATATATTTGCTATTATTCATGTAAGAGCTATTGGCTATATCATAAATTAAATCTACACAGGTACTTACCCACCTGTGTTTCAATTACACCCTGAAGACATGCAGAAAGAAGGAAGAAAATACCTTATATAATTCCCCTTTCAAAGGGTGACTGAGGATTAGGGAACCCAGTCGCCAAATCCTAGTGGTGACGAATTATCGTCCACCACCTTTTAGTTCGGGTGCGAGTGTACAATCTTTATAGAATTTTTCGAAGCAAGGAAACTGAAGAAATCTTCAATGCACTTTTCCGGGATGCGAACTCCGGACTTCTTGGATATGCACCCAGCGTGCTTTCAGTTACACCACGAAGGCATGGGGAAAGGAGGGAGAAAATACATTATAAAGTTAAATTTTCATTAATTGTTCATCAAAGATCGGGAAAATTTCTTATTAGCTTCATGAAGGAAAGATGTATTTTATAAATTGAGTTTTCAGTGAATGTGCACAGCACTCTATTCTAAAAATATGTCAAATATTTATTGCTTTTAAAAATATTTCAGAATTTATGATAAATTTGTTTTTCGTTCTTTTTCTTGTTAAGTGAGGAGGCATAACCCCATGGAAAATGAAGGCTTATTCGAAGGTGATATCATGGGAATCGATCTTGATCAGGTAGGTTTTTATTTGAAATTTTATTTCAGTGAATATGTCTTTACTATATTAGTCATCAGATATCAAATACCGCATTTCTTTATTTCGGAGATGTACTTTGCCTCACGTAAAAGGCTGTAAAATGCATTCTTAAGTCGTAAATGCGACTTATGACCTTAGAATTTTCTAAATTTTCTCGAGACTTGAATGTGTACCCAACGATTTTTTTAATGACTTTGTTCATTAAAAAAAGTTTCTTTGACAACGAATGCTTTTTTCTTGGCTCAGCAAATGATAAATTAAGAAATAATAAAGATGGCTTAGAAAGACTCAGACTCGAAATGTGAAGTATTCTCTGATACAAAGGCTCAGGGAAATTAGAATTTTTTCTGAAAGAAATCGTGAATATTGTTGCGTTTTTTTTTCTGACACCAGTTGTTACGTTATTTTATTTTCTTTACGTTACGTATGGGTTTCGTGAGGATTTGAAGTGAATGATGACGACACTTGATGATGAAGTATCGAAACACACTTTTTAGCCAATATTAATCAGGACAAGGTCACGTTTTACAGTCGTCGAAGATCTACTATACACTCGCTGGAACAATTCAGCGACACAGCCTTCAGGTTATTAGGCTCTAACGGTGGAGATAGCTTCACTGCAAAGCACCAGCTTCCGACTCTGCTCGGTCGTTCTCGGAACTCCACGTACTTTCGAGACTCTCGACGCTACAACTCGCGATGCACTCGACGACACACAGAACACAGCTCCCAACTCTTCAGTTTAGTCGTTCTCGGAGCTCAACACACTCTCTCGACGATGCACTAACCGCGATACACTAAGAGCTTCTTTCGATACACTCAACGATCCACTCGGCACTTGCTGCCCGGCTGTCAACTCGATCGACTCCGCACGAACTGACTAACTCGAGACTAACTATCTCGCACTCTGACTTTTCGCGTACCAGCAGGGTTTATATAGTTTTTGACTTGTGTTCAAGAACATTCTGGGCTAAACCGGTAAGAATTCGTTCCAGAAGGTTCTCCATCCTCCCATGGTATATCGCCAACTTTGTCGCCAAATGGGCGATTTATTGCCAAATGGAGCAACCCTGCCTTCTCTTGCCATTTTATGGCAACCCTAAAACTGCTTTGCGGAGAAGCTATCCCACTGCCCCTGTACATTTCGTAACAAATATTATACCTATAGAAAGCAACTACTGTTGCGATTAGTAAATTAAATTATATTTTAATTAATATATTAATTAGAAGTTTTTTTAATCTTTAATTTCATTTACCGATTTTCTGAGAATCAAATTCCTCTGTTTTTGCTAGTGGTAATAAAATTAAATCGTATTTAGCATCGCATTAAAATTTAGTTTTGCGCGTTTAAATCGACAAGATCCTAGAATCAAAGAAATACGCATTGGAGTAGAGCTATAAGGCTTCTTTAAGAGCAGGTAATGTGATAAGTTAGCTACGCCCTTGCTGGGACTCGAGCCATGGATCTTCCGGATGCTAGCCAAATGTGCTACCAGTTTTACTGTGGTGTTCTTCAGACTTATTCTACTAAATAGACATTGAGGAACCTAGTGAACTGTTAAGTGACGTATCGCTGAGTTCAAATAACTAAAGACGTAGACTTGAGAAAGATTAACTACACTTTATTTCACTCAAAATAAGATGAACAGTTGGTCCCTTTCTCGGGCTTACTACAAAGCCTCCACTCGGACTTGAACTCTAAATAAGAAATAAGAACCAAACTATAGTTAACTAAGAGTGACTTAGCCAAAGCTAAACACAAGGTCTAACGTAGCTGGCCCTTAATTTAAACTAGCCGGGAAATATCAAAAGGCACTTAATATACGTCCGAGCGTGATAGGTTCAAGAGAGATTTAGCCCGAAGGCAAACACGCTGTACTCAGGATTTCTAGCTCTCTCTCATGAAGTAAGTTGAATCTTCCTTAAATACTGCTTCTAACTAATTTGCATTCAACGTGATTCTAAAAATTCATTCTGGTAGGGAGTTGTAAGTGGAAACAAGAATCGATAGGAAAGTAACTTTAAAATTAAATTAAAATAATTGTTATAAAATTAAAATATGCCTTACATTACAATGAGCAGTGGGAAGGAAATTGTAATTAAAATTATTTGTGCAAAGGTGTCTGTTATTCAAACTGAATTACCCAGGGCAGACGGCGAGGACACCCCTTTGCTTACTCCCCCACGGGGTTTCCCCCTTCTACTTGCTTAATTGCTTAAAGTAGAGTGCAATGAAGGAAACCACTGGCGGCCACCGCTAGCTCAATGAATAAAGCTGATCTAAATAATAAAATGTTAACTCACATGTCAAAGATCTCTTTGTACACAACATTTCTTGTAGATCTTTCCATCATTTTTAAGCTCGCCTTGCAGAGAGGACCATCAATTATTTTTAATTTTACGTCCGTTCTTTCACGAACTCTTGAACAGGCAACATAAAGTTGACCGTGTGCAAATCCAGTCTCAGGTAAAAAAATGCCAACACGCTTAAGCGTTTGGTCCTGAGACTTATTGATGGTCATAGCCAACGACTTCATATAACAGGTAGACGGCTCACCCACAGGGAATTCGTCTGCTAGGCTGTCTCCAACATACACCACGTGACTTATGGTCTTGGCGCTTTTGGGGAGTGATAGCTTAGGCTTTTCATCGCCAGTTTGGCGCGCTTTTGATATGGCAGGTAGTGTGTTTTATTTCCGTCTGCTGGCAGTCGGCAGACAACGACCTCGAATTAGATTATTCGATTTTTTACAATTATTTTTAGATATAACTTAACCCCTTTATCCTGAATATTTTATCTATATTTTTAATAATTGCTTTAAATTATTTGCCCCTTTGTTTAAGTTGTTTAGGTTAAATAATTTTAGGAAGAAAATTTAAAATAAATAATAAAAAATTGAGATGGAAACTTTAATTTTGAATAACATTTAAAAATTAATTGCACTACTGTTATAATATTTGAGAAGGTAAAAAATATCTTTTATTTTTAATGCATTGCATCCTAAAGAGAAAAAGAAAATCGCATTGTAATATATGTATTTATGCAATTGACGAAATATATACTTACAGACTGTTGACTTTCAGCTGGAACTATAAACTATTACTGTCCAAACTTATAATATAGTTTATGATACAAAAAGATAAATTATACTGAAATCTTATTACAGAAAAATATTTTGTTTTCTTTAATTTAAGTAAACATAATTTTACTTAATTTAAAGTAAGAAATAGTTTTCCTTTCAATGTTACCAATAGTACTTGCATTCTGGAAATGTACGATAGTAAATAAATTTTTATTTTTAAAAAGATCTTTCACTGATTGTAAATGCCCATTTTATTCAGTTACTTGCATATTAAAGTGCTTATAAACTTAGCAATGTCCAGAAAATAATTTCATGCAAACTTGGAAGCTACTGCCTTAACTGTATGCTGCTATACATTAAATTTAGTAAGATTTCATATTATGCAGATAAGTTGTAAATGTACATTTCCAAACTAAAATTTTTTTTTTCTGAATTATAAATTCAAACATGACAATACATATTCTATTTTATTCTTGTATCTCAATTAAATAAACACATTATGAAAATGTGCATTTAAATATAATATTTCTTATAAAGTAAGTTTAATTACAAATAAACACTCACAAATTAAGTAAAACAAAAATATACTACTTTGTATGAACACCGATCTTTTAAACGCGAGCAGGACGCACATTTTGAAAAAAAAAAGGTTTCGTTCTTCACCAGCTGCAAAGGATCCAACTTGCATCTGATGAAGAAATAAAGCTTTTTGTTTGAAAAGCATGTCCTGCTCATATTTAAAGGTTTGGTGTTCATACAAAGTAGTATATTTTTTATTTTAAGTGATTTAATGCTTTTTTTATTTATTTAAATTATTTTTTTCTAAAGTATATCAGGAACATGTTCCAAACTGGTAGTCAAGTATATTCCAAATTTCTTATTTTTAATTTGTGAATAAGTAATGAGCTTTTTAAAACGAAAACACACAATTTGGCCGAAATAGAGAAACTAGGTATGATTATATACTACATGAATAACTTTACGAAATACAATACCCTATATATGGCTCTGATAGGGGAATCTGACTTATCAAACATTTTTTTTTTAGATGGTAAAAATTTAAAAAAAAAATTAGCTTGTAAAACCATGGAAATCTTTATAGATATATAAAGAATGTGATATTTACTTTTAAAAATGAATACATAAAACAGTGTAAATAAAATACAAACTACAAATTAAAAATACATGCTTTTATTTTAACAAATAAAGGGCTTAAATAAAACGACTGTTTCACAGAAAGGAAAAAAAAAAAGCTTTTATGAATAGAAAGTGAAAACTTTTAAAGATATAATGATGAAAATCTCATTCAAACCTGCAAAAGTTCACACAGATATGGTTTTAATGTTTTTTTTTTTTTTTTTTTTTTTTTTTTTTTTTTTTTTTTTTTAATCGCAGGCAGTATTTGTTTACGAAACCAAAACGCGTACGACTTGGCGAAATAAGGTTAGCACAAAATAGGCGCAGCTTTCTATTTCAACGGAGTACACGGAAAAAGAACATAAAATTTAATTATTTGTAAAATGTTGTAAGACTTTCACTGTGTAAATCTCAGTTACTGTAGAAAGTGACGAGTCTTAAGAACTAGATAGCGAATGATCGCTTAAGTTCGGGTGACAAGAAACAACAAGATAGAAGGGTAACTAACCCTTTATTATTCCAATAAGATTTAACAAAACTCCGCCTTGGAGTGTACAAACAAAGCCGATACTTGGGCTTGAAATTAAGAGACATATAATTAAACTAAAACTAAAATTAACTAAAGAAATATAGCCGAAACTATCAAGCTTCAAATCGAGTTGGCCCCTTAACGTATTTGACTACGAAGCTTAGCAAGGGCCTGAGTACGGCAGAGCTTAATAACAGCTTTGAGAGAGAGAGTGGCCAAAAAAGGCAGACGCGAGTAAATCAGAAACTCTGATTCTCTCTGATTCTGTAAGTAACTTCGTGGTTTAAATACCGCTCCTCCTCATTAAATATTCAGCAAGATTCCAAAACTACGTTCTGGCCGGAAGTAGTAAGTTGAAGTTAAGAATTTGACAGGAAAGGAACTTTAACTTAAAATTTAACTGTTAATAAAATTAACATAATCCTTACAAGGTGATTCCAATAAATAATGTCAGAGTATTTAATGCATTTTGATGCTATTAATACATGCTGAAAATGTCATATACAGCGGCAATTTTCTTATACAATATGGCTGAAATTTTACCAACCAGTTCAACAGAGATAGTAAAATGACTAAAATACTGGAAATAAAATAATAAATCACGCAGTTTTAACTTAGCTATAAAACGTTACAGGTCCTCCTTTTATAAAACTTTCTTTACATCCATAGGCGCTGCAGCGGTTAACCGTTTTTTCTTAAATTTTATGTGATCAAGCAGAGCAGGCGTCTTTCGTCCCATAGAAATGAAGTAAAGTACTTCCGTACTTTCGGAATTCGACCAGCAGTCACGTGACACTAATGTTGGAACCGGTTGAAGGTTGCAGATACGCTCTCTACCAGTATATATCTCGTTGGTCATAGCAAAGGCAAGTTTTACAGGAAATTGTGAACGTCTAAATTGAAACGGCCACCCTGTGGCATGGAAACTTCACCCCATTGGTTAGTACAGTTACGCAAGCAACCAATAAACTATCGGCGACAACCAGACACTTAAGCCGCACATATATATATATATATATGTGTGTGTGTGGGGTGAAGTAACATCATTTTCTCCGAAACGGCTGGCTCATATATATAGATACCCACTCTGTTATCTAGCTCCGTGAGCTCTTTTTTTTTTATTCTTATATGTTGGTAAATTGTGCATTTTTTGCTTTAAAAATGATTGTGTGTGTGTGTGTGTATTTAATTATGGCAAAGCACACTAGGGCTATCTGCCTAAGGGGAGGGATGCCTTCGTGGAGGACTTTCTAAGGGAAACTGGCTCCTATACACGTTACACATGGGGAAAACCACGAAAACGCCCATGCAGCCAGCCCGTTCGCGGGATTCGAACCTCGGACCGAACTACCAGTGTTCAGCGACTTTACCGCTCGGCCGCTGGTGGGCTTAAAAATGATTGAATTACGTTCTTATCTTCCAGTTAAGGTTTTTTATGCCTTTAGCTAATCTGCATGCAATAGTTGTAGAATTATCAACAATTTAAAAAGTTAAGATGCAATAACACGTCGAACAAATATTAATTTAGAAGTCAAACAACAAAAAATTAGCTATAAAATTGCACGTACTTTACAGAAATTTAGTTTTCGGGTCGTTTATTCTCCCATCAAAAAAATTCCGAGTTCCATACTTAAGGACCCCATTCTGGATATGAAATTCTGGGGTGTTTACAGGATTCCTTGCCTGTGTGGTTTAATTTACATTGGTCAAACTAAGAGAGTCTTAAAATTAAACGTTAAGGAACATATGTTAGAAAAAAGGAAACGCAGAAGTCTTCTGTTGCCCAGCATTGTTGGTCCGAAAATCATACTTTAAATTTTTCTGCAGCCAAAATTTTCAAGAAACATCTTCCATCGGTGAATTGGATTTTCTAGACGCATTTCACATTCAAAATAATCTTTCCGTTCTAGTTAACGACCCTAATTTCAATCCACATTTTCTTCAGCCTTTAAGGAAATTATGTTTTAGTTCTCGTTTTATCAACAGATGACGCCAGTAGCTTCACTTTTGTCCAGTCTTTCTTATCTTATCTAATCACTATATCTTATCTCGTTCGTTTGCGCTTTTGCAACTGAGGATGATGGTTCGGTAAAACCATCGAAACTAGTCCTGTGAAAATTTGAAAATATAACGCTGATTTTTGTTGTTTGACTTCTAAATTGAAAAGTTGTTTAAGTGCAGCTAAGACTAATTTTTTATCATAGCAGCCATATTTGTTTACATTTGAAACTTAACAGACTAGTGAATTAAGTCAGTTTCTGCCCCTTCAGTACCTTTTTGCCGGATGGGACCAAAAGTAAAATTTAAGTTTTGTGCACCGAATCGAAAATGTTCTGCCTTATTAATCAAATGAACAAACTAAAAATCTACTTGCAATAAGTATAGCCGCCAGGGCCCAAACGTTTTCGCTGATGAATAGTTTTTTCCCATGCTAAAAAACCGATCTTAAAAACTTAAACTATAGTGTTGGTATCTACTCTACCGGGGACGCTTGTAATGATTTCTGAGTTAGAACATTGGTTGTTCTTTACAAGCCTGACTTCTGACAGATTTCCTATACAAAGAATCTGTTTATATAAATTTCCAAAGCTTCTCTTAAGGTTTCCTTCTAGAAGATTGTTTCATGTCAAGTAAGAACAGGTAAATGCCTGATAATCCACTTTTATAATAAACTGTTAAAAAGTTAACAACTTAGCGAGTAGTAGCTAGTTTCTTAATTATGACAAAATGGTCGAGATTTTAGCTGCTCCAATGCTCCAAAGAGAGAGTGTTGGCTCTTTAAAGGATTTTCTTACTTAAATAAGAATGGAAAAAAATTTCTATAGAATAGCTTCTTTTTTTTTTTTTTTGCTCCCCACAGGACAGAAATGCCGTCCCAAAAGATTCTCAGCGATGGCCGAATGGAGAAATTCCTTACCTAGTGGATGAGGCTCTCTGTAAGTAATCCTTCATTTGAAGACTCGGGGGGGGGAGAGGAACCATTTATGCCCATTGACAAGAGTTTTGAGAAAAAATAATTTTTAGTCTGTGTAACTTCAGTGATAAAGATAATATTATTATAAAAATCATAAAAAAGTTCGTAAAAAAAAGTTTCAACCTTTATTTAATGGAATTTGTATTATAAACAAAAAAATATACAAAATAGAATAGAAGCGAATTTTTAAAAATTTTTTTTAAGGTGACTAAAACTCTTATCCCAAGTTTCTTCTGTTAATCTTAGAAACGCAAAACTTCTTCGTCGTTATAATTGGCTCTTCCTCAAATGAAGTTGTTTTCCCGTCATTTGACCGTTTTGAATCAGTTTTGTTTTTTCCTTGTTATTTGGCAAGTTTTCCAAATTTTTAGCAATAGTGTCCTTTCTTGGACATCGAATCCGATGCTTAACTTAGAATAAAAAATATTTCTGAATTTATCATACGACACTGGATTATTTGGATTGCTAGTTTTGTATATACAGTGGAGCCTCGAGATGCGAGTTTAATTCGTTCCAGCATTGAGCTCCGCAACCCCAAAAATCTCATTACCATCTCATCTTCAGTCGACATACCTGGTGTTTTCGGAGAAGGTCCAAGTACAGATTCTTAGCCTTAGCGCAAATGATAGCTTCCGACACCGAATCACCTTTTAACTCCTTCTCATTAATCCACATCAACAACAGCTTCTCAGCATCCATCTTCTAGAAGTTTTGGACGGTGCTTGGAAATAACGGTAACTCCTTTGGCCACATCAAGTTTCTTAATTTCTTCCTTCTTCTTCAAGAATAGTGCAGATCGTCGATGTTAAACGGCCGTAAGTCTTCCCAGTTCCATCAATCTTACACCACGCTTATGTTTATCTACGATTTCTTTCTTAATTTCAACGGCCACGGCTACCTTCTTTTTCTTTGCAGCACTATCTGAGGCAACAATCTTCTTGGGAGGCATCGTGAAATAATTATTCTCACGTTAAATGTAAAAAATAATTAACTCACAAGCGCACAAACACGTAGATCAAAGAACACTGAGTGATCTTACGAGAGCATCGACTCGGGAAACGCGCCACGCGTACCAACAGCCTGGCTCGTTATTCGAGTCAATGTTCGTATTTAAAGACGAATGTTTCGCTCATACTTTCCTCGTATCTCGAATTTCTCGTATATAGAGGTGCTCGTATCTCGCAACTCCACTGTATCGTGTAATTTTATGACGATTAACTTTTCAGGCAGTTACACTTTCCTACTCCTTTTGAGTAATAATGAGACTTTTTGCCCTTGAGGGAGCTGATAAAGTCGATTATTTTAGAAACAATTTCCTCAGGGTTTGTATGTGTTCCTCTTTGGTGTGACAATGCTGTCAACGGCCAAATCTTCCCTTATTTTTTTAACCCGACTTTTTGTAATGCCGTGGAACAAAACAAAGGCATTTATAAAAATCTTGTGGTCATTGCACTGCCTATCTTGAAAACAACATGGCTCGATAAGAGTATGACGCACTATGTGGGGATCCCTGATTTCCCAAACGAGAACGTGGGCGTATCGCAGGCAAAAGTGTTATAAAACCTGCGAGGTAATGATTTTGGGTATTATAATCCCCATGTTCATTAAAAGCTTTGGGAATTCGTTTGTTTTTCACTACCACAAGAAGAAAAAAAAAAAAAAAAAAAAAAAAAAAAAAAAAAAAAAAAAAAGCATTGAAAAAGTCTGCACTTAGCAGTCAGGTCTTAACTCATGTGTGGTTTCTCTTAAATCTTTCATAATAACGCAGATTCTCACTGTTTTCCTACTCTATAAGGTATTTCTTCCGCTATTTTCATGCCTTCGTGGTGTAGTGATCAGTACGCTCGATGCGTATTCGAGAGGTCCTTGGTTCGAGTTCCGGCGAGGGCATTGTTCATTTTTCACTTCTCCAGCTTTCAAAAAATACCTAATGTCTCTACAGCGTCTAAATTTTCTTCCGCTTTCAAATAACCTAATGTTCTTGTTGGCTTAAAGCTCATGCACTGATTCCGAGCACTAGAATCTTCCCTTTCCATGCGCACAAGTACTACTGAAGAGCTGAAGGACTGAACTAACCGGTCTTCGTTACAAGAGATAAAAACGAGCATGAATAAGCTTGCGATAAAGGAAGTTGGATAAAGAAACTTCTTCCCTTTTGCCAGGTGGACTTTTTCCCTAGTACAGAAAACCTTTCTGCAGTTACAGTGACCGACAAGAATACTTTTTCTCCTGTAGCAATTTGTAAAGTAAAAGCCTATGCAGTAATTTGTAAAGTAAAAGCCCCTGCAGCGATTTGTAATCTAAATATTGCCCTATAGATAATATTATTACTTCATTTTTTACAAAGAAATGGGCATAAATGGTTTTCTTTCCCTTGATCTTCATTTTTCAATGATTCTTAGTAAAAAATTTAGAAGCATTAATTTATAAAGTTACTGGAAATAGTTTCTTTAGTTGATTAATTTACTCTCAGTGGCTAGTACTTGCGCCATTAACAAAGCGGAGCTGAAGAAATAAAACATTTTCTATTGAATTTGTGTTTGCCCCAATATATTACTTACATTTAAAATTATAACCTTTTTCAGATGAAAATAATCTTGTGAAATATAACAATAAACAAATAAAGGAATTCAACGGAAAAATCAGCATAAATAAAATATGAAAATATGAGCTTTATATTAGTTAACCAAATATTATGACTTCAACCTTTCCGTAGTGCTCACCAGAATGTAAATTAGATGTTCAGCAATTAATCCGAGTGTTTGAATTTTTTAGAATTAGAGCTTTTAACACCCTCGCTTGCAACCATGTCCTATCGCTAGATCTGCCAAGGATTATTCTGGATTTAGCCATTTTGCTAGTCGAGTTAAATACTCGCCATTAAATATTTGAAACCAGGTTAAGTGGGTTGTTTGCGTAGTTTTATTTGAATTTAGCTTATGTTATTTTAAGTACCCGGTGGCGGAGTTTCGTTTCGTAGCACAAGCGGTGCCTTTTGGTAAATTAAAAAAGTTAATAAAAAAGTTATTTCAACCTTTGCAAAATTTTGTCATCTTAATTCAGACTAGAGCAGTAATTCGTTTTTCAGTCTAGCAGGGTCTGAAGGATATTGCTTTATGGTTCTATACAATGAGAATCCAGAAAAACTTATTATTGAGATACATTAACACGCCGAAAAAGTATTAATTTAGAAGTCAAACAACAAAAAACAGCGTTATGTTTTCAAATTTTCACAGAACTAGTTTTGATGGTTTTACCGAACCATCATCCTCAGCTGCAAAAGCGCAATATACTGATTTTTGTTGTTTGACTTATAAATTAAAACTTATCATCGATTCGTTAAAACTCAGTCTAATTATATAAAATCGACAGAGTTCTAGCGAAGTCATTCCGCTACTGAGCCAGCTAGATTGAGTTCCCACATTACGCCTCTGCTAAATGCATGCAAGTATATATTTGTTAAATTTGGAAAGAACTGCTATTATTTTTAACAGTTGAAAAGAAACTGTGTACTGAAGTTGAAAATTTTGACCTAAAGATAAACAAATGGTTTTGGATCAGCGTTTGCCCATGTCTCCAAAAGAAGCTAGGAAAAGTATGTTCCAAAATCCCATAATTTCTGAAATATAAAACCATTTTATTAAAAGTGGTCCCACTGAGCAAATAAAAAAAGAGTTAGGCATATTGCTTTTGTGAAGCTTATGCCTTGTGTGAGAAATAACATCCACAGACAAATCCGGGATGGAACTAGGTAAAATGGAGTAGCACTAGTTGAAGAAAAGAGACACCATTTTTTCTGAAGAGATAGGTTGCACAGCAGGCCAAATTTTTATCCTCCATGAGAATGTTTTGATTTAAATTATTCGAAACTTGCAGTTACGGCTTTTAGTGTTTCTGAAAATTTTTTAATTAGTTCTTTTAGTTTTTCACAGCTTCTGTTTTTAAGATTTTCATGAATGCATTATATCTGATGTAAAAAGAGAACTCCAGTGATGAGATAGAGGAACTTATTTTGAAGTACCTGCAATCTGTGATAATTTGCTTTGTATCGCTAACACAGACTAGTAATGTGTAGAAGACAATAGAACGAATTATTGGGATATACAGATGACTTTACCGTGTAAGTTTAGAGTCCGCACTCAAGATTAACTGCGGTTGGAAAGAAGCAACGTCAAACTGTATGCTAAAATGCTTTGGGTGTCAAACAGTCTTTCGAAGCAGCGTCAAATCTGCAATCGAAATACACCACAGACATTCTTTTATTTACAATAGAAGCCATTCGATTTCCAAAAAGGTTTTTATAGACTGAAAGAAATGGAATTAGTTTTTGCCTTCCTAAAACTTTTACCCTATTGGATTTTTTGTTTTGGACTCGAGTGAAAACATTGATTTACGGTGAAAAGATCCAAAATATTCTCCATGTGAAACAAAGAATCAATACAGCAGCTGAGAATATTAATTTCCGGCGCTCTAGCTTCAGTTAGAGAAAAACAGTCTTGTTGTGAGTTTGTAATGTTCCAAACTTTGAATGTACTGCAATGTGTCTGGAACGTTGAGAACTGATAAGCATGATCGCTTAGTTCAGAGAGATAGAAACGTAAGCGTACGAAGGGTTAATTACCCTTTATTATTCAAAATAAATTCAACAGACGACTCCTTCCTGGAGTTACAATGAAGCCTCCACTTGGGCTTGAACTCGGGAATAATACATAATAAAACTTAACTAAACTAAAAAGATATAGCCGAAGCTATCAAGATTTTAACAGAGTTGGCCCCTTAACGCTAACTGACTGCGAAGCTATCAAGGGCCGAGCGTAATAATAGCTTGTGAGAGAGTATCGCCACAAGGCTAACGCGCGCTGATCAGAATCTTTGGCTCTCTAACGAAGTCAGTAGAACTTCACAGTTAAATACTTCTTCCCCTCGTTTGAATTCAAACGCGATTCTGAAAATACGTTCTGGTCGGAAGTTGTAAGCTGAAATTAAGGAAAGACAGGAAAATAACTTTTAACTAAAAATTAACTGTTAGACAAATTAAGATAAACCTTACAAGTTATACTATTAATGGGATACACTTAAAACTTTTCTATTAGGTTTCCGATTTAGCTACAGTAAACATGCCTCAGTGCGTATGGCGTAAAATTTATTATCTTGTAAATTAATGTAAAACTATACCATCATTCTACGAACACCTTGAGTTTATGGGTGGCATTTATTAAATAACTGAAAATTAGCTACAGTGTCATTAAAGTACTTTTCTTTAACTTTGTTAAAAAAAAAAAAGGTTTTGAATGCTACGTCATTAATTGCAAAAGACTGACTTTAAAAGCCGAAAAACCATTAGTAATAAATATTTAACTACAAGTAGTAACTCCTGCTTGAGACACCTCCGAATAAAAGATTTAAGTATAAGAGTCACACCTTCACGCAGAACTAACGAGACTATGTTATTTATTTATATATCATTTATTTAAAGCTTGATACAATTTGAAATTCTAATTAAATTACATTTTTTAGAATGTACACTTGAAGAGAGGACACGTTTATTTAAGGGAGAAAATGTTTTGTCCGGTTGCTGTCCTTTATATTGGGAGGTACTACTGTAATTCCTACATGTTCCCGACTTCATCTTATTTTAGGAAAAGGAATATAATTACTGGTATATACTTCATATTTTTCACATCTCCTACATAAAAAATCCTATTGACAATGCAAGTGGCGTCTGAACTAAAAAGGTGGTGGACGATAATTCGTCACCTCCAGGATATGGCGTGTCCTCTCTTCAAGTGTACATTCTAAAAAATGTAATTTAATTAGAATTTCAAATTGTATCAAGCTTTAAATAAATGATATATAAATAAATAACATAGTCTCGTTAGTTCTGCGTGAAGGTGTGACTCTTATACTTAAATCTTTTATTTTCTAATCCCCAGTTGCCCTTTAAAAGGGGGAGTATATAAGCTATTTTCTCCATTCTTTCTGCATGCCTTCGTGGTGTAATTGGAAATATATTCAGCGCGTATTTGAAGGTCCAGGGTTCGAGTCCCGGCGAGGGCACTGCATATTTTTCACGTCTCCTGCATCAAAAATCCTAATAACTATATAAGTTCTTTAAAAAGATTGTTTTGTTGCTAATACCTGCAAATTACCTTGTTCAACGTAATTTGCATGTGGGTTTCAATAACAATTGTGAAAAATGTGAATCTACGCCATAGTGAACATTGTTGTAATAAGAGATTATGCGTTTTTTTTTTGTGTTTTTTTTTAATAAACTCTTTATGATATCTATATTATACATAAATTCTATTATCTTATTCAACTACACCCTCTTTCGAAAAACGGCAAAATCAAAAGTAAATGCTTGCAAAATTCCCTCCTTCATTAACTTTTTTTTTCATTAATAAACATTTTTATTAATGTTTTATAATGTAAAAATATTCACTTTTTTCATTCTTTATTGAATGAAAAAAGGAATAGATTTACAAAAGATGATATAATTTTAGGACTGAAAATGGCGGAAGCCTTCAAATTACTAAAACCCAGTTGTCATAGAATAAAATACTATTAACATGCAATTAATCATTTATACTTGAATTTCTGATAATCGAGTAATTGTATTCTTTTACCATTACGGACATCTTGCCTAATCCGATTATACTTGATTGTAAGCGAAAAAAATTAAGATAAGATTAAACACCATGAAGATCTTTTATATCCTAAATTTTATAAATAACTGGGATTTTCGTTTTGCAGATCCTATATGGGAAACTCTGATGTTGGCAATGCGTCACATCGAAGAAAGATCTTGCATACGATTTGTTCACAAAGATGTTCAACATAAGAACTATATTAAAATATTCAAAGGAAATGGGTAAGAATTTCTCCAACAAATTAAAATTTATCGGACCTAAAGTAAACTTGTTCTAACTTCAGATATATATCAGATGAAAGGAAATTATTACCTCATTAGATTTCTTCTAAATTTTGCCATATGATACAAACACTTTCAGATAAAAATGATAGAAACATAATTGAGTATATCCTTTAAACGCACAGAGTACTTTCCATTTAGTTGCACTTTCTATATAACAGTTTTGTTAGTAAATGCGAAAAGGTCATCGAATGTTGCAGCGAAATGCAAATTTATCGAATATGATACCGACGATTTCCAATACTGCTGATAATCGTGAAATTTTACTTTCTGTATTATTGTATTAAATGTGGAAATTCAGGAACATAAGCAAACACTTGTTGTTGTTGTGACTTATCTCAGTTGTTTGACAGTAACGTCAGAGCAAGCCTGCGAAATTCATGGTGGCAAGGAGAGCAAGATTCGCCTATCGTTGGCAACAGCCGTGAGCTCTGTACAGGTGACAGTGTAACTTCGCTCAGAGCACTTCAGGGGGGGGGGACGGATCTAAGGGTCTCTCAGCCATCTTCCCTTACCACAATGTCTCGAGAGGACATTCGGCTCGCCATGTGTTTAGAGTATCCCCATGCCGCAAAGACATTATACATTTACAAATATCGATGTCTTCTCGGGGATTCGAGCCAGGTCCCTTCGGTATCGCAGTAGGCTCCCTCTTCGTCTGGGCGGCTAGCAGACCGAGTATTAGCAAATTTAAATTAGGTATATGCATTAATTAAGTAATTATTAATTATTAATTAATTAATTATGTATTTAGTTATTATATAATTATTTTTATAGGAGCATATGTATGATGTCGAAATATATATTTTTTTGTAAATCAAATGCCCAGGCACTTGCTAGCCATTGAAGTAAGATACATTTCTAATATCAGTATATCAGTTGTAGTATATGTAAAGTTACAACGTTCCTATTTAAGTTACTACCGAAAAAAATTCCTGATAAAAACATTCTTATACAAAGCATACGTGGTAGAAAATAAAATGGCAATAAAATTTCTCAGAGTTAAACTCGGTTGGTAAAGTGTTAAGAAAAACTTCTAAAGTATATTTCTTAGTGATATAGTTTGAGGGATTAAAACAAACTCACAAACGCATACATATAGTCTGTCGTATAATGATCAATATGCTAGAATGGTAAGGTAGAAGTTCTGTTTTTGGCGAGTTAACAGTGAATTTTGTAAGAAATCTCGTTCTGAAATTCTTAATGTCTCTACAGTAAATCCTTGTATCGCAAGAGCATTATAATTTGTCACCATCTCGAAATGACCATTTGGGGATCACCTTATCCCCCCAGTCCTTTCTTAGATTGAAGAAATGTAGGGATTAAATTCATCATTCCTATCTACTTATAGAGACATTAGGTATTTTTTTGAAAATTAAAGAGATAAAAAATGAGCAATGCCCTCGCCATTACTCGAATCACAGACCTCTCGAATACGCGCCGAGAGTACTGACCATTGCATCACGAAGGCATGCTAAAAAGGTGGAAGAAATACCTTAGGGGACCCAGTCGCCAAACCCTGGTGGTTGAGAATCATCATCCACTTCCTTTTTTAGTTCGGGCGCCACTGTAGAGAAATTAGGTATTTTTTTAAAGTATGAGAGATGAAAAATGAGCAATGCCCTTGCTGGGACTCGAACCACGGTCCTCTGGAATACGCGCCGAGCGTGCTGATCATTGCACCACAAGCATGCTAAGAAGGCGGTAGAAATAACTTATATACTCTCATCAAGTAGTGTTCAACATATTTATGCGTCATAGTCAAGCTCCTGGCAGCAGGTATATTCCCCATACCCTACAAGATAGGACAGGTTATATTATTTCTGAAAAAGAACCGGAACCCAGCCGAAGCCACATCCTTTCGCCCTATCTGTCTCTTATCGGCAATGGGCAAGGTACTAGAAAGGATTATCATTAGCAAACTACGGTACCATTTGCACACGCAAGGATTCTTAAGCTCGAGACAATACGGGTTTAGGATGGGCACTTCTACAGTCCACGCACTCTTCGACATGACATTAGATATGCAATTTTAGAGAACCGACATAGCGGCCACCATACTGCCATGATAAGCATCGATCTCAAGAACGCTTTTGATACATTATGGTGGCCGGCTATCAAGCAGGCTCTGCGGAAGGCAAAATATCCGAGCAACCTGTACAAGATGCTAAGCAACTATCTACAGGATAGAAGACTACTAGGAGTTCACAACGCAGGCATATTAGAACAGGAGCAGACGAGAGGGTGTCTTCAAGGGTCGTGCGCTGGTCCACACCTGTGGAATCTAACTTTCAACGAAGTTCTAATAGCTACATGGCCAGGGCCCACCCAGATCTACGCTTACGCAGACGACGCAGCGCTAATAGTGAAAGGTCGAACCCGAAGAGAATTATAGACTCACTGTAACGAAGTGTGCCAACAATTCTACGCCCTATGTAACAACTTTAAACTGAAAATTGCAGAGCACAAATCCAAAGCGTTATTAATACCTAAAAAGGGAGGTTCTCTCGCAAGAAGACCAACCATTATTATCAACAATCAGAGGATACAAATAGTCAATCAACTAAAATATCTGGGCCTTACGTCCGACCACAAGATGACCTGGATACCACACATCCAGGACATCAAAATTAGAACAGTGACAATAGCGCAGCAAATGCGATTATTTCATGGCCACAAATAGGGCCTCAATCCCCATATTCAGAAGGTCCTCTTCACCACAGTGGTGGAAAAGATAGTCACCTATGCACAGCAGTATGGGCTCACCCAATGCAAAGCAGGAAAATTAAACGCCTTTCTACCATTCAAAGACCCTTTGCATTGGGTATCACCAGAGCCTACCGCACGCCCTCTTCAGACGCGATCAACGTGCTGCTGGCTTCCTTCCCCTACACATCCGTGTCAAAGAGGAGGCAGGACAGGACAGGAAGAAGAACACCGTGGAACAGACGTGGGGGCACCACGTCATCGCCATTGACGTGGTGCCCCCACGTCAATGGTATAGCCCCATGCACTACCTCTCTAGCGTACCGCCCCTTCCTCAGGGGACCTAATTAGGGTATACATAGGACATAGTACTAACAACAAATAAGAAATAGCTCAGCATACTGTTACAACATACTTCGACACATAGGACATAGCATTAACATATTGTTACAGATTATTTACAGTGCAAGAAGTTATATTCATTATAGAGCTTGTTGGTTTTGGCACCGCCCCTTCCACAGGGGACCTGATTACAGTAAACATAGGACATAGCGCAACATACTCTTACAACATACTTCAATACATAGGACATAGCATTATCATACTATTCCAGATTATTTACAATGCAAGAAGTTATGTTCATTATAGACCTTGTTGGTTTTGGCATAGTATATGCTTTATGATACCTAGGGTTGTGTTTTGAACCCTATTGATATTTGAATTGTGTATTGAATGTTGTACTGCGGCAATTAGGTAGGTAATGTTCCATTTGGTCCAAGTTCAATATTCAGATTTTAGCGGTCCATGGGTGGGATAATTTACATGTACTTTGATGAATTATTGCATTTGATGCACTGGACAGCTGTTTCAGTACATATGTGAACTTGGTACCTTCTACCTGGTGTAGATTGTTACCTGTTTAAGGCGGTGTTTGACGAGTTGTAGGCATCCCTGTGACGATACACTTCTCCTCTTGTGGAGTATGTGAACACTTTACCAGTGACGCAATGGCATAGTACCAGTGGATGCCGGCACAGGTACAATATAAATTGTTAGCTCGCATTATAGCTAGTCCTTTTGGAGGACAGTTATTATGAGCTACAGTCTTTGAGATCACGTTACCGTTAGGGGGTTTATACTTGTTTCTCATTCTGGGGAGCACAGCTCGAGTCCATATTGGTGTAGTGTGTCTATTAACTTTCAAAGGTTCTCATACACATTTCCCCGCCTGATTTAACCTTAGGAATTGTATTCCGGGGTTCGTGGGATGGCGCACATGGTAAGTTGTAGTCAGGGGACATTGTAGGATGTAGTGATCGGGGTCGCCCATCTCCCCACATACACACACATTTGTTGAAGAGAGATTTCTTTCGCAGAAGTATGTGGGGAATGGACTATGGCCGGAGATAAATTGTGTGAGGAAATAGTTGGAGATTATGCGTTCTTCATTAACCTTGGGTAGCAGACTGTGTGTCCGACGTCCAGTATGTCCATTCGTCCATTCCATTTGCCAAGCCTCGTTGGCGAGTTGTTTCAGCTTTAGTTTGATTGCTGATTGGGGCCATGGGACGCGGATAAGGTCGCCTCGCTCTTCTATCGCAGCTTGTTTTGCAAGGGTGTCTGCCCTCTCATTGCCCTCGCAGTTGCTGTGACCCCTTTCCATGTGATGATAAAAGTTTTATTACTGGATGAGCTGATATTTTGAATTTTATGTGCTATTGGAGATTTTATTGCATATATTGATGATTGGCTGTCCGTAATAATATGAATTACGTTGGTACGTGCATGGAGATAGCTTATGCTTTGCTGCCAGTTCAGCTTGGAATACGCTATTGTCCGGTCGTAGATGCCCTTGCCATTCAGTAGTGGTATCTGTTCCAGTTCGAATGGTCACGCCGCATCCAACTTTGTTGTCTATTTTGGATCCCTCTGTGTAGGCAATGAGAGTGGGTTGGGAGGTGTTTGGGTAAGGTTACATTTCAAATTATCCAGTGTTATTGCTGGATGGGTATGGAATTTACGTGGCTTGCTTTCATATTTATCTGGTTGGATTACTGTCCCCTTGAATTCGGCGGGTTTTTTAAGCTGTAGGACTGTTGCTGCAATGGCATCTATTTCAGCTTCTATGGATAATGGACGTACTCCCGCAAGTACTAGAAGTGCGTTCGTTGAGGTTGTGCGAAAGGCTCTTCTGATATTTATTAAGAATGGTCTTGTGTATCGAGTTCAGCATTTTGGCTTTTCTTACAGTCATTAGGATTGCC